TCCCTTTATAATCACGTCATTAAATATTCTTAGTTGGAGTGAAATTGTTCTGTTTGTTGTTGTCACTCTGTGCATCATTATTGATTTGTCAGGTCAATTTACCCTTGATTGATAAATCCTTCACTTCTTTATGAAGTTAGTCCTGAAGTTGTCATTAAGTGTAGTGATGAAACATCCAGAACAAAATGTCAAAGCCTAGAGAATACCAAACCACCGTCAAAGAATAAGAGGTTACAGTGAAGATAATTATCTTCTCGATGACTCATTCTCACAGCTGTACATTTGTAAATACGTAAATAAGATAATAGAATGTTGCAGAGAAATTTCCTGCTCAAGGTTGAACTTCATTAACAGGTATGTAAAGAGAATGGAATGACATTACTTAACACAAGACATGATCTCAACAGTTTCTATAAAATGCAGTGAACAGTAAAATTTGATATCAGGTAAAAAGAAATAAATAAACATTTAGTAAACTATAAACAAAATACTAGATGAAAAATAAACAGAGGTGCATAGTACCAGGTTAAGACCACGGTAAATCGAGTGTTTGTACAAGTTTCTTTTGAATGCATAATTTGGCGCTTCTTGTACTCCAGTGGCCTCATGGGTAACACCCTAGCATTTGAAGAGAAGGGTTCAAGTCTCAGTGGGAACAACATTACTCAATGGGGTCCAGATATATCCAGCTGATGAGTCCCAAACAGGACGAGACGTGCGTCCCAGATTCTGCTGCTCCCTGGTAAGCAGACTACAGTACAAGGGGGATCTGGACAGTACCAAGGGGTCCACGTAGTAACCGGTCTGACAACAGCGGTTAGGCAATTCAGTCTCAGTATAGCAACGGGAAACTAAAAGTGAATTTTACTTGTTCCTTGTTTTGGCTGACTAGGTCGTGAACTTTTCCATTTATTTCTGTTTTCATATTGATGTCTAGATGTAGAACATGTATTTAGTGTTGATTTTACCACTGAAATGTATCAAGTTAGTTTAACTTATGTTGGACATTGACAGCTTTCTTTACATAATTTTAAAATTTAGCGCGTATGTGGAAGATTTTGAGCATACGAAAAAAATCCAGTTAATCCCCCAATTTTTTTATTCTTGCTCTGAGCAAATTCATAAAATGGACTAAGTATATGAATCTTATCTATCAAAAATCATGAATGATTTATTTAGACTTATTTTATTGATAAGCAGTAAGCGTAAGACAGCTTCATTAGTTATGCACTGATGACCGATTTCCGTGTATAATCCACCTCTACATGGAGCCCTTCCTTACTTGAATAGTCTAGTGGTTGTGTTTTGGACTTCAAAACTGAATATTGCAGGTTCGTATCTTCAGAAAAACACCACTTTCACTTGAGTTGCAAACAAACCTTGCTGATGAGTGTTAACAAGCAAGAAACCTAGGTTGGGGAGAGTTCCATACCCATTTACTTTCACCATCTAACAACCAAAAATCTAATGCACTGCTGTTTTGCACCGTTTAGCCTGGTGATCACATTTCAAAACCTGGTCAACAGACTTTAATCACACCTAAGCACTAAAAACTAGACCGCCGTGCTAGATGTCCTCCGGCGAACCTATCACTCCACGATCACTCGTGACCTGCAGAGGTTAGCTGGGAGGTTTCTTACTTCATCAGATACGAGGATTCCCTTCACTCAGTCAGAAGATGAAACTGGCTCCCAGACATCCGCACAAATTAGCACACGATAGGGTGAGCAAACAGTTGCCTATTTTTCACGTTACTGTCCCACAGATTATACACTGCTCTGTGACACTAATCAAATTCTGTTTATCGAAATGATTGGAAGAAACTGTCATGATGTAATGGATTTCATGCTGAATGCGTAGGACCGGTGAGTAAGAACCGGTATCGCTACGTTAACTTTAATTTGACCTCCTCTAAAGTACCGTGATAATCTGTCCGTTGATCGTACCGTATTCTTTTTGGCCTATATAGTTTGATCGTATTGACCTCTATTCGCCCACAGTCTTTAATGGAATTCTGACTTGATAGCTGATAGTGGTGCGATATGCTTCCTACGCACAAAATGTTATTGATTCCATGTAGGTGTTTTCATGCAAAAGTGAACAAAACAGCATTTTACTGTACTCCAATAATCGATAAATATTAATTGTAGAAGTCGACACAAAACTAGGTAGCACACTATCTTTAAATACTGGGGAAATAGTGTGGACCCAGACTTCTGCCAACTTCTTTTTTCGTAAGTGGGCAGCATAACTAGCTGTAAATGAACAGGTTTAGCGTCCAAGAGAATACAGAAAAGCTCACATTGTTACTGGTCAACATTCAACTAAAGAATCCATCTTTTCCGTGGGAGTGAGTTGTTCTCTGGGCTTGAATTTTAAACCGTTGAAGTTCTATTGTCAAACTACTTGTTACTGTTGGTGTAACTCCACAAACAAGGATATCCGTGGCATCAGCAAGAACCCATACCCAAAGGAAAATATAATCTAGGCATCGAAATACTCAAGTACACTATATTCCTTCAGTTAATAAGGTCATAAACTTACTGTAAACTCGTAATTCGGAAGTCACTACATGAGTATTATAAATTGGCATGCCCAAAACTGAAATCCCACAGTTAACAACTATGTACTTAAGAGGCAAGATAGGCAAGTCGACCACCGAGGTTGTGAACGTTAGTCAACTAAAATGGCCTGGACATGTACTGAGCATGCCCAGCCTCGACCCACATCGACGTGCCATGCTAGAAGAAGTTAGATTAGCATGGAAAAGGGTTCAGGGTGACCAGAGGAAGACCTGACACCGGTTGATGAAGTCTCTGATGCTTGGTCAGAGGAATGTGAGGAGATGTAGACAACCTGGCTAGGATCTTTCAGACGATAAGAATCAGTGATTGAAGACTCTTGGTGAAATGGCTGAAAATGGGTCACAATGGCACAGGTATATTTACTTCCTGATGGCTTAGATATCCGCACTAACCTTCATCTTCAAACTTTTTATTGTCTCACACCACTTTGTCTACCTTGATATCGCTCTTTTTATATACACTTGTTGTTTGCATGCCACTGAAAAATAAGGTAACTTCAGTCGATGCCTTTGTGTACGAGGTTCTACGTTGATTTTGTCTTTCTTCTTGTCTGCTTGCCAGTGAAACTTTTCTACAGTTAATGAGGAGGACAAAAATTCAATATGTGTAGCATTTCATGTAGCGTATAGGTTCTTATGATAATCAGAAACTGCTGAGTACAAACTTATTTTCTTTTGTTAATTTGGAATAGTCATGCAGCTCTCTGTCGCTCGCTCGCTCGTTCTCCCAAATTATATTCCATGATAACCATCAACAGAACAGAACCTTAGTGGTATTCACTTCTCAACACTAAACTGAATATTTATTCACCTAATTTTAAACGCTTTAGCAATGAATCTTATCCTTCTGACTGCATGCATAGTGCAGTATAAACTAAATTAAATTTGCAGAAAACTACTTATTTCGGTTTCCATGACCGATAACTACTCAAAAGATACTTGTTTACCAAGCACTGTACATCTCTTAGAAATTCCGTTTAAAAATTGTATTATCTTATTGTATTTTATGATAAAAAAACCCTACCATCACTGAACTGCTTGAGGATGACCCTAAAGGCAACCCTAACAACTGAAATGACCAGTTAGATTTCATGATTTCATGAAAATTCACCTTTCCATTCGAAATAAATAGAATCTGATTGGCTGTTTTAGTCGTCGCTAGAGTGGCCTTTAAAGTCAGTCCTGTTTGACAACAATGAATGCGAAAGAAAAGCATTTTTTATCTACTTATAAAGCGTGATAAAATTTCAGACTACAAATAACTAATTGATTTAATAATATAAATTATATTTGTGAATGGCCATGAGAAACGAAACTTTATGCATAGTCCTGCGCTAACTACCTCACCTTCCTGATCGCCTATAGCAGTTACGAAAATTTATCTAGGGAACTAGTCGGTAAAAAAGTTAAGATGCACTTAGCAACCAGATGAGCACCCGTGCAGTAGGCAATCAGCAACACTTATTGTGTGAGGGCAAATGATACTTCTGCCTGCCTGTCCACACTTCGGTAGTTGGGACAGGGTTCAAGCCCATGGTGCACTGGTTGGTAGACAACTACCTAAACTGATAAGCCACACCTCCATATCAAGAACTAGTACAACTGCACGAAACTTCCATATACTGCTGGTTAGACAGTTCAAAAGCGTCTTCCTACTCCATATAGTAATCATTCTTACTATCTGTTTGAAAATATAGCTTGAGGAAACAGTAAAGTAAGACAATGCCTTTTGAACTCTAATAGATGTGAACATTCCGGTGTCACTTCTATTTCCAGACGCTCCAGTTCCTACGTTGACATCTGCTTGGTGACAAGCAGTTGAATCCAGGAAGCGTGTTTCGACCTATTCGGAACTCGTCAGCTGGGTGCACCTGGACCCTACTCAGCGATCCTATTCTTACTGGGACTCGAACCCGGTAACCAACGCTTCAAATGCCAAGGTGTTATCCATAAAAACCACTAGTGCATGAGGACCACTTCTTGTGCAACGGGTATCAGTTGTTGGTTGATACTTGTATTCTCCTGTCATTTTATTTCTTAGGCAATCAGCAACTGTCAAGTTATCCGAATAAAAACAAGAAACTGATGCTTATTACTGAAGTCTGAAAGAACAAAAGTCCACTTGTATTTTTCGTATTCAATTGCAAATGGTTTTTGTTATTGGCTAGGTGTGTATGACTATTTAAAGAAACTCCATCTGTCTCTTTGAGTTCTGATTCTCATTAATTCTTTTCTCTATTTCCCACAGAAGTGCTTCAAATCGTCCATTTTATCTTCCCTGAATCACACTGATGACCGGATTCTTTTAAACGACAGTTTTATGCCCAGAAGATAAGAAATGATAAGATTCATTCAGTTACCGATGAAAGCAGATTTTATAGTTCTACTACTTATATCACTTGTGAGCAGTTTTCAAATGCCAACAATCATATATAATCTCGCTGATGAAACACCAGCTGGTTCATTGATTGGCAATGTAGCGGAGAATTTATCACCAGACTATGCGCGGAAATACACATTTCTTTTAATCTCTTCAGTAAAATTTCAGTATTTAAGTGATTTTTTCAAAATTTCACCCAATGGTTATTTAACTACCCTACGTCATATTGATCGAGATAATACAAATGATGTATGTGGTCCGTTGGATTGTTGCTCCTCAGCTATCTGTCAAATTGAAGCAAACATCATCCTTACCAAACAGTGGGATACAAATGGAAAACAAGCTAACTATCAAATAAAACAACTAACTAAAGATTATGCAACCAATGAAGATATCTTAGGACGAAATTTGATTACATTAAATGAATCTAGCCAACAACGTGTCATCCGATTATATATCCGAATTAATGATGCTAATGATAACCCACCACGTTTTATGTCTACTAGTATGCTTAAACATGACCAATCGAAACCAGTAAATCAATTAATCAACAGACCATTTATTATTTACATTAGAGAAGGTGATACAAATGGATTTGAAGGTCTTCCAATAGCCTCAGATGCCGATTCAGAAGTGAATGGGATTGTTGCCTATAAACTTATTGAACAGACGAGTAAAGGTGATCCAGTCAGAGAACCGCGACTGAATATTAGCATGACATATGCTGACTTTGCACAGAAACCGAATGGTAATTCAGTTAGTTCACGACATTTAAATCCTAAACTAACACTTTTACGACCATTGGACTATGAGAATGTAGATGATCGAGAAATTTATGCCACATTCTTTGCAATCGATGGGGAGATCCACCGTTAACTGGATCTTTATCCATTATAGTCCGCCTGCTGGACATCAATGATAATTCACCGATATTTGCCCAATACTCAGAAGTGGAAAGTTTAATTAGCCTACCAGAGAATACAACCTTGAATTATAAACCGTTTATTACTGTGAATGCAACCGATGCTGATTCAGGAGATAACGGTCGAATCACCTACTCCTTCAGTCCACTGGCGAATAACTTGGTCTTGTCGAAATTCAACATTGATTCAAGAACTGGTGCAATTACAATTAGAGAACCATTGGATTATGAAGTCTACTCGGAGCGTAATTTTGTCCTTCCAGTTGTCGCTAAAGACTCAGGTAGTCCACAACACTCGAGTACAACATCGATATATGTTCAAATTAAAGATGTTAATGATAATGTTCCAACACTTGTGGTGCAAGAGAATATCACAATACCTGAAGGACAGGTTTTTACAAAACCTGTACTTCGTTTCTATGTCAGAGATGAGGATGAAGTATCGCATGGAAATGTAAGTTGTGTTCTTGTACTTGGTGATAACTGGTAGGTGAATTCACGATGTTTAAGCTGGATGTCCGCTAGATAAAAATAGGGGAGTAGAGTAGTTTTAAAGTAAGTGGTAGCTATATTTATGATGCACAGTGGCCCACAATCGATTCCAGGATGTGCGTTTCGTCCCACTTGTGATTCGTCAGCTGGATCCACCTGACCACCAGCGGGACTCAAACCCAAGAACGGTCGCTTCAAACACCAGAGAGTTATTCACTAGGCCGAATAGTCGCGGTGTAAAATTTACAAGAGATTGCTAATGTAACCCTAGACAGTATCCTGTCCTTTTATCCAAGCCATCTATAGTTCTTAAAATGGACGTATATCTATTGCACTGAGTCATGACTGAAGGTGAAATGAAGATTCGGATCGCAGCCGGACTCAAACCAGCGACCACCGAGTTTCCGGTCTGATAATCTACCAACTCAGCTACGACTTCCGACTGATGACCAGATTTTTATTTCACTTCAGTCAGTACGGCAAAACCCTTGGTGATTGAAGCAAAGTAAAAATCTAGTCAGCAGTTTGACCAAGTAGCTCAGCTGGCAGAGCATCGGACCGGAAACCCGGTGGTCGCTGGTTCGAATCCGGCCGCGATCCAAATCTTCATTTCACCTTCAATTATCACCCAGCATCAATACAAGTCTGCCAAACTATGACCATAGCAGATATTCAAATGATGTATCTATTAGCTGATGAACTGACCTCATCACCTTGTACAACACAAAATGAAGCTGACCAATGTTCTCTGTTTGGAAGTTACACTAAGTTCCGATATATATATATATATATATATATATATATATATATATATTGGCTAGTAATGTAGTCCAAGAAGATTGTCTGTCCTATGTAAAACTCATCAGCTGGATCTATCTGTCTCCTAGTGAGTAGTGTTGCCCCTACTGAAACTGTGATCCAACAAACATCGCTCCAAAGTGTTATACACTAGTCTATCAAGTTACGACTATCACTCAGTGCATACCGCGATGACTGTTTGAAACAGAGTTGCATGGCTACTTTTGGCACATAGGGCACTTACTACACGGCAAAAGCTCATCTGAAACTCTATTGCTGACCATTCTTCATCACAATTACTTGGCCTAAAAATACTCAGAAGAAAAGATTATACTGAATATCAATAAATTAGTAAAATCTAACATTTAACGCAGTTTATGTCAGCAGAACCTTCGTTTTAAATTTGGGATGTGATTTTCCTCAGTTTCCTGTACACTTCAGCTTTTTCTTGTACTTCCATTCTTTGTTCTTCGTTTATTCTCAAGAACTTTTAGTGATTAAGTGATAACCCCCATTGCTTCTCCCAGTGAAATCATCCCATATGCTACTTATATCTTGTTATAAGTAGTATATTTCACAACTTGTCTGTAACAAAGTATAAGTAATGGCACTCAGATGCCACAAACATGCAACATATTCAATAATTTAACAGAAGAAATTAAGTGCTGCGGTAGCACATAACTTCATGTTAATATGTTCCTTGAAAGGCTTTTATTCACTGGATGACATTTCGAATAGAATTTATTGTCCATAGACATATTGAAGGTTACCGACACCACAATCCTCAAGCCAATAAAACTATGATCTTACCATCTACCCTTAGCTAATAGAACAGACTTAGGATTGAGGTTATAAGCAAGCCGACGGCTGTCAGTCAATTTCAGTTTCTTCTCAACATCTGAGTAGTGTGTTCACTTTATATAAATAAGAGACTCGTATTTGCATTGATTATGAAACATGATTTAAGGCCAAATTTTCTTGCAAAAAGGATAAATTTGCCAAAAAGTTAAAGTTTGGGAAGGACCTTAATTGAAATATTAGGCTTCTTTATTCACAGTTCTCAGAAAACATCAGATCTGATTGAAAATAACCCGAAGTTAGTAAATTCAGTGTGCAACAAATGCAAAAAGCGATAAATAAGGTGGTTTCATTGGTTACATTACCTCCCCCCCCAACTCAGAATGATTATTCGTTGATCTTAATCTGATTATCAACTAAGTCTTGACTGATTCAGATTTCCTACAGTCGCTCTATATAGTTTCCGACTGCTATTAAAGGTATGATTTCATCATTCCCTGCCGTTAGCGATAATCATTCTTCTACTTTTATGCACAAAAATTACATTTTACTTAGTGAGCTATTCGTGATTTGATTTTGACTTCATCTTTAGGGTTATGAGGCATGCGCATGGCTAAATTTGTAATTCTATTATTGTACCATTTAAAAATAATGAATTATCTTCTGATTTATACAGTACACGCACAATTTACGCCTTTCAATTATAATTATTGATTACTTACCCTGATAGCCTGACGAATCCCCATATGCCCATATAAAACTAGTTATCTATCACACACAAACACAATGTCACAGATAGGTGCACTATGCATTTGCTTATTGTAAATTCAGTTGATCGATACATCAGTCACGTAACAGGCAATACTGCTGTCTACAGTCACATTGAGACAGGGCTGAATTTGAAATAGGTAAACGATGAAAAGACCCCAGAAGATTTGGATTTCGCCAATGACCACTTGTGTCTAATGTCACACAAACTCGAAGATCTACACACAAAAACTAACAAGTTGACAGAAGAGGCGAGGTGAGGCAGCGAAGACGAGAATTCAGGTGAACGTGGAGAAGACAGAGGTGATGAAGATACCCAACCAAAAACAGCATGAACAACAAGCACCAATCCCCATCAACTAGTGAAACATCAAGGAAGTAGTCTCTTCCACCTACCTAGACAGCATCGTTTAAGCTACAGACGGAGGCTCAGATGCGGATATTGAAACCAGGATCGAAAAGCAAGACAGGCTTTCACTAATCTGAAATCAGTGTGGAGATCTACTCCACTCCACTGCACTCCAATCAGCATAAAGCGTGAACAACATTCAGATTTTCAACACTAATGTCAGTCAAGTCAATGCTTCCATGTGATGGTTGAGAGACTTGACCCGTAACGAAAAGCATTTCCAACAAACTGCAGACATTCATCAACAGTTGCCGCCTACGCTCACCCGATACTGATAATCAGAAGGCAAGAAAAAGAAAAAGCAAGAAGGAACTAACTGTGGCAACGAACCAACCAACAACCCATTACCCAACAAACATGCAGAAGGAAGTTGAGATGGATTGGATATACACTGAGAAGACCATTTGGGGACATCATGCGCCAGGCCCTCGGGTGGAATCGAAAGGGGAAGCTATGACTTGTGCGTCCTAGGTGAGGGTGACATGGAGGAGATAGTGTGAGGAAGAAATGAGAGCCTATGGGTGGTGGTGGAGCCAGGTTCAAAAGATTGCAGAAAGGAGAGTGGAATGGAGACGTGCTAGTGAAGCTATGTGTTCCACTAGGAACACAAGAGAAAAATAATAACAATAATAAACGAGTGATGCACACATTTGTGGCATCATGTGGTATATAATTTAAAATCCCATTTACCCATGCATTTATTATATATATTCAGATGAAGAATAAATTTTTCAGATGTTTCAATTTACCATCAATTAGTAAACATAAGAAAGAGAAATAAATAAAATAAGACAGGAAAAAGGATTAGATTTAAAAAGGAATCAAAACGAAAAAGAGAAGGAACAAAACGAAGACGAAAAGCAAAATGGGATGCATATCATGAAGAAGTTTCCCCACTGTTTGTTTTTAAATCCCTTATATGTGTTGTTATTTTCTTTTTTGCTTTTTTATCCTTTGAAATTTCTATTCTAAAATGATCACATTTTGTACACTTATTTATTTATATATCGCAACATCAATGACAAATAGCATAACAGTCTGGTGTAACCTAAATAGGATACAAAGGTGAGATCAAGAATAGGCGATAAACAGAGGACACAGAAAATGGCATGTGTTAAATAAAAATAACTGAAAAGGAATCCTACAAAAAAAACAGGCAAAACTTGTTTATTTGTTTGCCTACTTACTAGCTTGTTACCTACCTTTGTTTACTTTCAAGTATAGGATAAAATAAATATTCTTTTACTTTAATGAATTCAAGGGGAAATAAAAAAGGAAAAACTGTTTTCATTTCACACTTACAACTAACTCCTTAGAATAAAAACCTCTTTATCATCTAATTACTTATTTATTCATTTGTTTGTTCGTCTTTTTGTTTATTGATAAACATTGATTAATTTTTCATCTAATGAGCCACTAATTTTTATAAGGTTTCAATTAGAGATTAATTTTAATTCTGAACTGACTATTCAAGGTGACGAGTTATTATTATTTTGCTTGGAGGTTTTATCACTCGTCATCGATTTGATGGTATTTAAAAATTAATTGACACATATCAACACTAATGTCTGTCAAGTCAATGCTTCCATGTGATGGTTGAGAGACTTGACCCGTAACGAAAAGCATTTCCAACAAACTGCAGACATTCATCAACAGTTGCCACCTACGCTCACCCGATACTGATGATCAGAAGGCAAGAAAAAGAAAAAGCAACAAGGAAGTCACTGTGGCAGCGAACCAACCAACAATCCATCACCCAACAAATATGCAGAAGGAAGTTGAGATGGATTGGATATACACTGAGAAGACCATTTGGGGACATCACGTGCCAGACCGGGCCGTCGAGTGGCATGCGCATGGGAAGCTATGACTTGTGCGTCCGAGGTGAGGGTGACATGGAGTAGATGGTGTGAGGAAGAAATGAGAGCTTGTGGGTAGTGGTGGAGCCAGGTTAAAAGGACTGCAGAAATGAGATTGAAATGGTGACGTGCTAGTGAAGCCCTATGTTCCACTAGAAACCCAAGGGGCAAACAAAAATAAAAATTGACACCTGTAAACCAAAGTGTTTATGGAAGACGAAGGCGAACTTCTTTTACCGCAGGACTGAGACCATATAGTCGCTGGTGCTGTGCCAATTAAGTTGAAACACCCAAACAGTCGTTATAACCCTGTGTCACTGGAACGACGGATGCGTGAGTGTCCATTCTTTTTCACACGGAATTCTTGATTAAGGTTTTCGCTCACAGCAACCCAATTTAGAGATAAGCTACGGAACTCACGTTGATATCCATCACGGACTAAGACAAACTTGAGAGCACTGATTAACTATTTCGTCTTATTATAGGACTCCTCGACCAGGGATCGGACTGAGAACCACCACTTTCCATGGCCGGCACGTTTCTGAAGCCATTGGGTTGGAACCCAGTCGTCCACACTTCCTATTCTTGTCAGTGCACGATGAAGTGCGACCTCCATCCAGTCTCGTTGTTGAGTACTGTTCTACTATCTAACTTGGTTGATGCCACTGACCACGACTTCTCATTGGGACTTTGGGAATCTCATCTTGAAACAAGTCACTAATAAACAGTAGGTTTATTCAATTCAGAGGTTTTGTGAGGAGTTATTTATTTATTTCAGGTTGATATTGATCATGGAATAACATCAGTTGCAGAAATATTGGAAACTTGGGAGAACTGGACAGCCGTTTCGTCTCACTATGGGACTCCCCAGCAGTGTGCACCCATGACTCCACCAGGGGTTGGCAGGTTCATATTGATACACGTGCATAAGAGAAAGTGTAATTGCTCTGCAACATGATTTTTAATTGAAGATGCACATTAGCGTGTAACTGCCAATCACATAGCACGAATCCATCACCGAAAGTAGCTTATAATCATCCTGACTCATTTGTCTTAATGGCGACTCGATTGACATATTGATTATCAACACTGCAGAATGCCAGAATGAAACTGGTCAACATCGGTTGAACGACTTGAACAAGTTTTGTAACATTATATGATTACCATCTGTCTGGTGATATTCTCCAGTATTCCATTCTTTCCATCATGTTTCGGGGTACTCGATGATTAAAAACAATGCATGAGTTTGAAAATCTTTTTTCTATGATTGTGAACACACTCTACTCATAAGTAGTAACAAATAAAACATGAAGGTGAGGAGAGTTTCGTGCTCTATGCCCACTCACCCTCAACCCCACTAATCTCGTAGAAGAAAATGCAGGTCACCTCGGTGTTCAGTCAGTTACCGTAGTGACCCCACATACAAACGATAAAATTTGATCGTCATTGAAGTCTAAATGAGATGAAAAATTTCCTCCATCAAGAAGAAGGACACATAAGTTTATAATTATCACTGTATGGTCAAATTACAAAAGTCTTTACTTCATGGGTCCAGAAAGCCATGAACCTGTATTACTGCTGTCACTAATACCAGTCATAAAGTCTGAAGATCAATTAAATCAATAGCAAACTGAAAACTACTGTCAACAATCTATCACTGCATATAAATATAAATGGTGTTTAGTTCCAAACCTCATCAATCATACTGCACACAAACTAGTCGATAAATTTCAAAGGATACTATTGTAATCAATATAACACTGATTACTTTTGGGTGGGTACTTGTTACGGAGTTTCCATCAGAATCTATTCAAGATGAAACTAGAATAAGAAAGCTTTGTTGAAAACCACGATCATAATTGTTTATTTCCTGTTACCAAGAAACAGATAAGATTTCATATAACCAAGAATCAAAATTCAAAAGTATTGATCACATGTGTGTAGTACATCAGCTGAAAGATAATTGGATATTTGAATAAAATGTAGACACTTTGGTGGAATTTAACTCCATTTTAGTCGACTTGTTAAACGTATCACAGAGGTGGAACAGTATTGGTGACTAGATGACGTTTCACACACAGTTTACTGACGAAAAAACTTCACAACTTTTAGACCTGGTAGTGGAGTCCAGGATGCATATTTTGGGACTTGTGAACTATATGTATATATATATATGCATGTTAAAGAGATGTTTTCCCTTTGAGATTCGAATTCACCTTCCTAAGTTTTAAAACGTCAAAATGTGTCATGTACTACTAGCTAGCCACTGACAGAGAACTAAATAAAATAACATCAATGCTAAGTTAATAATAATATCAAAATTTCTCCTCCAAAAGATCAATTACCAGAAGAAACAGATCAAATTGGTCAGGTGAAATTACAAGTATTGAACAGTTGTATTTTAACAGTCACGACTATTTGATTAAATTAACTCACTTGGTCGTCAAATAGATATATTTATCTCAGACATTAGAGGACAATTTATTGATTCAGTATATGGGTTACTTAATCAATAAAGTATCGATAAACATATGCACACACACACATAAACAAGCATAAACACGCATATTCAAGTATGTAATGATGATGTTTACTGGAGTCTACCTGGAAATAGTATCACGCAATAAGTTAATCACTTATCATAAGTGTAAAGTTGGATTGTTTAAGTAACATAGTGTTGGTGGGTGATGGAAATGACTTATTCATCATTAGGAATAAACGTGTTGTCTTGATAATAGGAAGAAACGCAAATGACCGGAACTAACTTACCTGACTGGTAGAAAATAGGTTGAACAGAGGAGAAACAAAACAGACATTTCTAACTCTGTTTCGTGAGTGTTTGTGTGTACAAAAAGAGTAATTGGTAAACAAACTGAAAATTATGTACAATTTTTTGAAAATTTTGAAATTTTGAAAAATCGACACAACTGAATATTTTTTCAGATGCCAATGACTTGAAATGTTGAAACTTTTACCAATGGTCACCACTGAATGAGTCATTATTAACTATCTAGCAAGATATACGCTAGTCTCTATAATACAAGTATTCATTTGATTTCGTCAGTTGGTGGTGTTGAACTCACTCAGTGTGATCCGGGTGGTAGAAAATGATCATCAATGCAGGTATTTTCTCAGTTTTGTATATTTTTCGGCTACTCAATCCTCACAGAAGTGAGCTGACGAGCTGTTCTCACTTCTTCCCCATTTTCGCCGATTTAAACTGTTGTTTCGGTCTCTGATGAAGCTATTTCTTAAAATCCAACTGTTAGTTTGCCAAGGTAGCATTTAAACTAATGAACCATTGAACTAAATGTTATGAGAACCGCTCCCAATATAGATATTTACATCAATGAGTAACTAGTCGAATAACATACATTCACTACTCTGAAATAATGAACAAAGGTAAAGGATTCTCAAGGTAGTCTCATATCTTTATGAACACAAGCCAGTAGAAACTGCAAACCAATCTTCTAGTGATTACCTCCGAAAATGGAAACTGTGTTACATACTGCAGCAAGACTAACCTCTCATTTAGATCTGTTTAGCAGTCACCTAAAACCATTTGAAACAGTTTTGGACCTCAACATGCCTTTCCATACAAGAATAATGCATGGAGTTGAAATGGGACAGAATTTAAATCAGAACCACCCCTTGAGGTAATGATCGACAATGTTTATTTGTTCATAATGTTTCCCAGCTCTGAAAAACTTGTCGGTACTTTAAGTTTACAATTTGAGTGCACATATGAAGTATTCTTTGAGTTGACATTATTTCCAATAAAAGCTTCAATGATACAGCCAACAGTTTATAAGAAATGGATTCAAAGTGAGTACACTGAGTAGTTTGCCACTGAATCCTCTGTCATAAAAGATCACAACCTACGACGTACTTTCATGAGACAAATACCAAAAGTCAGGACTTCCTTTAAACCGTAGTGACAAATTTTATATGACTTTTTTTCAAATTTCATTTTAGATTATTTGTAAGCCAGTCCCACTGGATGCCAATAACTATATTCATGACAAAGAACTTGTAGCTGGTCAAGACTATCTAAGGCTACATCCAGTCTCAGATACAGTGTTCTTTGTATTTACAAAAGGTGTACTTGACTATGAAAAGATTCCTAGAGCATCTTTACTGATTGAATGCTTGGATTCAGCTGAGGTGAAACAACAGAACAGCACTTCCAAATCACAACAGAAACACCAACTGTTACAGCTAAAATCACATCGAATTCGTATTACGGCTGCTATACGTGATCAAAACGATAATATGCCAGTATTTACACAAACAAAGTATTATGTAAAAATACCTGAACACGTTCATGAGGGTTCCCTGGTGACTGAAGTTAGAGCACATGATTTGGATAGTGGGGAATACGGTCAGTTAACTTATCAACTAGGTCCTGTTGCTAAGCCGTCTGGTGTTTTAATCGATACACCCAACAGTAATAACATCGTCAATATGCGCTTAAAACAACCATTTCAAATTGAACCAACTACTGGGATAATTAAAGTATTGCATAATGACATGTTAGACCGTGAACAAACAGAATTTTTGTATATACCAATTATAGCCAAAGATAAAGGCGGTTTAACTGCAACAGCACAGTTGATTATCGAATTAATCGATATAAATGATAATCCACCTAAACTAGTTAGTTCACAAGATTTAAAAGTAGAAGAAAATCAAAAAATCAATACTATCATTGGTTCAATACACTTGATTGATTTAGATAAAGGGAAAAATTCACGTATCCACTTACTGATCACAAATCAACACAATAAACTTAATGAAATGATAAAATATGTAAAAATTGTACCAGATTTTAATTTCAACTACTCTCAATCAACACCAAATGAATTAATCAATAATGGAGATATCAAAGCTCTACTTGTAAGCCAAATACCTTTGGATCGAGAGAAAACAGCTACTATTTTCTATGAAATTGTATCTTATGATGAAGGTCAATCAGCACATAGTGTGACGCATACAATTACTATACATGTGACCGATCAAAATGATAATATCCCCATGTGTACATATCCTATTTTTGACAGTATAATTGGATATCATCCAATCATTTATACCAACACGCCGGTACACAGTTTAGTTATACAAGTAAGAGGATATGATCCTGATCAAGGTTTGAATGGTACTATTCTCTATCATCTAGACAAATCTACCAACGGTAGTGAATATTTTTATCTTAACCAGTCAACAGGTGAATTGTTTACAAATTGGCTTTCAAATTTAAATTCCCATCAACCTTCAGAATATACAAATAATCATCAAAACATTAAAACAAACCCTAATGTCATTGAACCTCATGAAGGTATTTATCAAATTAAAATATTACTTACAGATATGGGTATACCAGCTTTATCGAAAGAAACACAATTTTTTGTGAAAATTAATCCACTCAATCCCAACTTGAATAAATGGAATACAGTTGAAACAACAGTAATGCATCAACCCAATAAATCGATACCTTTAAATTCAAATTTTAAATTATTATTAAATAATCGTTTTGTAATAATTTCATTAATACTTTTTATCATACTGTTAATTATAACTATCATGGGGATAGCGTTTTGGACTAGATCTCATCGTAAACAGAAAATATGCCATTCAATTAAATCAATGATATCAGATCAGAATGAATGTAATCCAATTATAATGCCTACTACAATAGAAAAGAATAATGAACATCAGAATAAAGAAATATTGCCTATTTTAACCTACGATGGGAGGACAGATAAGTCACCAGTTGTTCAACATCAAAATTTGCATATCCTAACTACACATAATGAAAATGAACAAAAACTCGATGGTATCATATCGAATATGTTGAGTACACCGAATTTTAAGACGGTTAATCATGTTGGTTCACTATGGCCACCAGATTCAAGTACACTTGATCAATACACAGATAAAAATGAGAAAACTCTTGACAGACACAGTACATACTCTCATTTTTCGGTTAACAGCGATCATCACAACAGTAGTTATATCCACCCTAACCCTGGTTTTTCAAGTCAACTGCAAACTAATCCATTATTTTCATTTCCTTTTGGATATGACACTAGTAAAAGTCTAATCAGTGATAGCCAACAACAACAATCAACCAGTCAAAAACTCTCTTCATTAGTCTATTCACCAAATGCTTATTATTCAATGTCTACTAATCCTCTATATACACAGAATACCATTGTGAGCAATGCTGAGATTATGAAATATAACAATAACCTTAATTGGAACGGTGGCAACTATTTATCTCCTCCAGAACAAAAATCACTTCAGTATTCCATTGTTTATCCCGGACATCATTATCCACATTCATCATTAGACAGATCTGAGCAAGATTATTATAATCAAAGTGAGTAATTATTGATTTCACTGATCGATCGATCAATCAGTCTATTTCTGTATTTCGGCTGGAAGGGAAGATTATTATAAAATATATGAACCTGATTGGTTGGTTTATTTGTTGCTAAGGTGACTTTTAGATTCACTCATACCTGTGTGGATGTTCCAATATTGCTGTTGTTCATATGATGGGCGTCTTTAATGGCCACCCAAGATATAGCTGAAATAACCAATTATACTTTCATATATCATGACACTCTACCTTTCCAGTCGAAATGAAGAAATCTAGTTGGTTGGGGTCCAGGTATATCCAACTGACGAGTCCCAAGTAGGACGAAACGTGCATCCTGGATTCTTCTGCTAACCACAACCAAATAAATTGTAATCATGATTTCTGAGGAATCTTCTATAACTATGACTACAAGGATTGAAAGATGTTTTGACCGTCAGCTGACGTCATTTAAAGGATTACTTGAAGTAGAACAGCTCTAATTGTCTTGCTCATTTCGTTTTTGAACTTTTTACAACGGTACGCATCACTCAAGTTTGGAAGAGTCAGATCCATTAACTTATGAAACATCAAAAATCAGTGACGTTGGCAAAGAAAAAGGTGACCAGATATAACATCTGATTCCAGTTACATGATGATGATAGACTACGAAATTTAGATCATATGGCTCCATTTCAGTGGTTTATTCGTGGTATGTTCTAGACGAAAATTCATAACTTTTCCCTTGGTCTTTTTATAGGTTAATGGTAAGCACTACTGATGAGTTTCGAGATGGGAAGAAATACCTGTTTAATGTGCCTTAACTACATTAATTTTTTGGCTTCATAGTCATTGTAAATACTACTTTTAAAAAGCCATATAAGTAGCCAGAGTTATCATATCAGTATTTTTCTTTTCTTTAAATAGGTCAGAGTCGAAATGAAAACATGAAATTTTGGTGAACATTACTTCTGTCTTTGCTATTTGCTTGAAAGATACAATTTCTGTTCATTCATTCCAATTTCTTTTTGAAGTCGATGTTTATTGATATTTTACTTGTACTGTCACTGCGTTACTTGGTGAAGTCGAAAACAGCGTCTACCTCTGCTTCCATCACTGACAGTTGTTTAACATCTTGTATAGTACCGTCTCCTCTTCTAACAACGAAATTCAGCTATTCTCCTTTTTTTGCGTATATATCTCTGAAACGTTGAAATGTTGACTTTCCCGCTATCCCTATCGTGGACAAACACACAGAAAAGTAACAACTAATCTATCCAGCTAGGATATGAATTCATGCCTTTACTTAAGGCCCTCAAAACATTTGCTTCCCATAATGATGTTCTAAAGGTGTACCCACTCCCTATTTTGAAGTGTACATAACACTTTTATCTCGCCTGATTTCATTTCTTATGAAACCGTTTGGTTTATTTTCTAAACTGTCAATGTTTGCCAAATCATATGCTTTCTACTTTGATGAATGCCCTGATAATGTCATTGTGAGAACATATTATCTCTGGAGTTACTTTTTATTTAGGGTAGAGATATAATGTGAAGTGAAAATCAGGCTTTTACTTTGTACTAGTATCGCGTTAAATTTGCATCCAATGTAACAATGAACAATATTCAGACCACTTAGTCTCCGGGGGAATTTTTGTATGTCATGGCTAAGGTAAAAACAACGATTGTACCTACTTCTTTTGTACACACGGTTCAGGCTTTAGTTCATGAATAGCTAAGACCTCCACTGTTTTAAGGAGTTGAAAACGAAGAAGATGTGGGCTTACCCCTGCCGTTTCGCTGGTAAAAATATGGGAGAAAGAAATACCAAACTGATCATTCATTCGATTTCAAAGAAAAAATTGTTTATCATCCTAGAGCTTCCAGGTCATCATCATGTGTCAGATGTACTCAAGAATTGTCCCTGTAAATCGGTCAATAGAGCATTTTTTGCAGGAAGACTTCAGCTGACCTTTACTCGCCGTAAACTGTCCTCTGTTTGAGTAAAAGCGAGCTCTCTCATATGGCCACTTCTGTGTGCATCTACCAGTTAACTTGCTCTTGTGGAGCGCGGTACATCGCGAGTAGTGACAGAATGCTTTCTACACGTCTACGAGAATATGTTCCACCTTGGTTTTATAAAAGTGAAAGAAAATCTGTTAAAAGTTCTATTCTAGAACATTGGATCTCCATCACTCAACAAACCTAGACAATGACCTTAAAATTATTTATCAAATTCACCAGAAATTCTCACGTTTTCTTCGTGGTTTTTGTGTGCTTCGGAAGATTAGTAGTGTCAACAACAACAAAAAATGAAAAGTTGGTTAAGTTAAATTGACAAACTGGTTACTTAAAATTCTAGAAATGTTTATACGGTCACCTTTGGTTTGCTTATATGAGTACAACCAGCTTTATTCCATTCAGGTACCTCTCAGAACGCCATTCAGAGAGTATAGTAGCCACTTTTATGTCCTTTTTAGCTCAAAATTTTCTCCTAGGGTTGTCTCATGCCTCTTGGAAAGATAAGATTTAAAAAGCTTGAATAAATGCTTTGCAATCTGTTTCATGGAAGAAAATTTCTCAGCTAGTATGTTATCTTAATTAAATACTTTGATGCGAACTCGGGAAAATTAAATATGTACACTCCTTCCTGAGGGCCCACTACCAATTTCTCCCAGCCTTTGCAGTTTACTGTTACTCAGTTACGTAACAGTGATCAGATGTCACAAACAAAAGCAAGAAAAGTGAGTAGTGCCTGACTTAAAGGTTTGTTTCAAGTCAGCCGTGTCAATTCAGCGTTCCCAAGGTAACGTGGAAACTCTGCTCAGCCTAAACCCCATAACTAACTGTATCTTTTAGGTTACAAATAAAGACTACCCTAGTATATCAGTGTGTAGAAACTTTAGTCATCGGTATCGTGACATTTAGATGTTTGTTTCAGGATTTTATTGGCCAATGTGTATACTGACATGTCTGTTAGATGTAACTGGCCTTAGCTATGTATATGAACAGTTTGCAAACGCAATACAGTTATTCTATTGCTTACTCGTGGTTACATAACCTACTAGTTTATGGTGTTTCTATGCAGCAGTTAGCTGTTTGTTTAGCTGCAGCATATATGATATGAGCATGAATATTCAATCTCTAAGACACTGGACAATCGTCTGTTTCTTCCGCTCAACTGGAGAGAAGTTAAGGTAGGATGTTAAGACTGTCTGAATGAAATATGTTCTAGCTGTGCTTTACAACATTGATTGCAAACCAAACGGGGATGATGGTTGAATCTGGAAAACAGGAATGAAACTCAGACTGAGTATGATCTAGCTTCTTTCTGCCTTACTATGAGGGTCAGTCATCGAACTTGTCATCTGTAGAACACTAGTATAGATGAAACCGAAACGCAAGCTATCTGCTTAACACCTCAATACATGATATTGTGTTTTGAACAGTCAGAGGGTTGAATTTGTTAATAATGTATTACGTCCAGATGAACTATAACTTAGTTTTCCTCTTAAACTTCAGTCTACTAGATATTTAACCCCGTCGTTGGATGGCAACATAATTACACCGATAACATGAGTGACTGACCTTAAGGGAGTTTCGTATTGATTTTTAGTCCCATTAACTCAATGTTAACCATTCACAGAAACTGATTCATTATTCTATTGGTTTTGTTCAAACCTTTGATTAAACTGTATCAAATTTGACAAACACTCAAACAATTAGGAAGTGCAAAGAACAAGTACTGCTGTGAGTAGTTATGAGGTCCGGCAATTCGGCCCTATACAGCAACGAGAAATTACAAGTGCCAAACAACAGCAAATGATACTGGTTGCACAAGTGGTGGCTCCCGTAACCCAGTGACCCAGTGGATAATGCTTCGGCGTTTGAAAGGGTGAGTACTGAGTTCAAGTCTCAGTGGGAACAGCACCACTCACTGAGGTGTAGGTGCATCAAGCTGACGAGTTCCAAAATAGGATGAAATATGTGTCCAGAATTTCACTGCTAGTCACTAAGCAGATAACAACATAATGAGTAGTCAGGCCGTATCGAGGCCTCCACATAGGATCCCATGTGCCAACTAAGGTCAAGCAATTTGACTCAGTATAACAGCGAGAAATTACAAGTAACACTAAACATCAACACCACTTACCTTATGTAGAAGAATCACCTTCTGGACCTCGTAGCTCAGTTAGTAGAGTATCTGGCCAGAAATATGATGGTCGCTGGTTCGAATCCGACCGTGATCCAAATTTTCATTTCACTTTCAATCATCATCTAGTTTCATATATTTATTGACGCTTGCAATTTCTCGTTGAGGGTTACAGACATGTGTATGATACCTTAGGATAGGGACAAGTGAATAGGATTGAAGAGAAATGTAGTTTGGACAAGGCAAGAAGGATGAAACTTGCAGAAGAAAATGATGTCATCACTTTATTTCAAGAGTACTCTTCAGCTGCATACAGTTTGGTAGTACACTGGTTATTGAGACATAGGATATTTCATAATTAGAAAATCATATTGATTTTCTAATCTCAAGTTGTATGACAAAATCACTGATCGCCTATACAACACCCAACTGTGGAAAAGAAGGTTTTTATACACTTTACATTCATGAGAGATCCATTATCCACGAGAAGAAAAGACACAAGAAATAAAGGAGTACTAAGAAAGATTATCCTGCAACTAAACTTCTATCAGTATACAATACCGCATGTTTGCTGAGCCAGTTAAAATTGGAAGAAATATCCAGCTCATTTCACCTTCAACTGCTTTTATGAATTCAAATACACTTGTGGTAGCAAGTACATTGGAAGGACTGAGAAGAGAGCACCCATTTGTTTCGCTGAGTGTATATAGCTGGGAATCTGTATTTGAAAGGAAGTAAGATTCTAACCTGTGAAATCGCCATACATCTCGTAGACACAGGAAATCAGGTTGGAACTTTGAGTGTTTTAAAAATTATAAACGTACGCTTAGCGGAAGCAATTGCAATAAAACGCTTTCAACCTGTCCCTTACATACAGAAGGCGAGTGTGGTCAGTCTCCCACTCCCTTGATGACTATGATTTGATCCTGTTTCAATTCCATCATAATTATATAACTCTTTATTACTATTATTTTCCTTTCTTACATTTAAAACAGTTAGTCCCTTTTATAAATTTCGACAAAACAATAAGAAGATGTAAATTGTCTGACCCGTATAATGTCTTTGCGCACCCCGTTTCCGAACGATCTGATCACACACGAACTTATCGTAGGTATTTATATGAAACTTCATAAAAATAACGGGTGACAATATGAAAAGAGGTCAAGTAAGAAAGCTGAATTAATAATAATAACAACAATAGTAATGATAAAAGGCTAAATAGCAATGAGAATCAATAGATCAAAAATAATAATACGTCGAAATTGGGTTCAGAGTTGAATTCACCAAGGGAGATTTACTGTGAAACCAAACTCCATATGAATGCACAAAGATGGTTTGAACTTCCCAATAGCTAAGACCTTAACAGATTTAAGGCTCCGTCCCCAACACGTTTTGAAAATAGGTCCAAAGGAAGTAGCCATGTCAATCCTGTGATCTGTCTCAACCATTCGTTTCACAATAGAAGAATTTGGACGTCTGCTACCAACCTTTTTCGGATTCCAGTGATTCGATTTGCTCCTGAAGCCACTTTGGAATATGTTCCGAGGCCTTTACTTACATTCATCTATGAGTCCTCCCTGTGTGTGTGACCACATGTATATTTGAATTGATA